AACACACTAACACACGAACACACTAACACACGAACACACGAGACCGATCACATAACTTCCTCCAACTCCGTTGGGCGAAGGTAAAAAACCCGCGACGGAGAAGAGAATTCTACTGCGAAACACTCACCAGCGTCTGTGAGAAGCGTTCGTCGTCTAGCAATACTTTCTTCCTTTCCACCGGCATGCCATCCGCGTACGTAGCGCACAGGTAAAATACCTGAACGACGAGCAGCAACTCACAGCCGAGATTTCGACCCGTAGCACGGATGCAGCGCATCGTAGCGTCACCACTTTCACTTTGCCGGCCGCAGACGCCCGATGGCTAAGAAACGAGGTAACCTATATATATATATACGTGGAAAGAAGAATAATGCAGGTCCGTCTCTCGTTCTCTTGTCCTCGCTGGCTTAATTTACACATTGGCCTTTCTCTGCCGGATGTCGAATTGTCCGTGAGGATGTCATAGCAGGAGAGCGTGCGATGTGCTGCAGCTACAACGTCGTACCGTTCGCTGGCCGATACGAACATGTCTCAGCTTCATTGCGAGTGTTTGCACACCGATGTTGACTTAATTCTTTGCCCTAGATGCTACTAATGTTAACCACATAGCACACTTTGCGGCTAGTCGAACGAACGTCGCTCGCTATACATATACTACGCCGCTATACATATACATATACACCGCGATAGGCTTGACAACGATGAGAAGACGTCTTAGAAAGAACCGTAATTCTTAATGGTTTTCTTGAATGGCGTCGAAGGATTAACCAATGAATAACGCGATTTTGAAAGCGGTTTGGATTTCGTGTTCGCGTGAATCTTTGCGTGTCGCTTTGCCGGTGGTAGATATGAGTTGATTACTTACACTGTAAGTACGGTCATCCACCGAGACCTTACACTTGTCTGCGACCTACGTCTGTCACCATATCACCTCTCCACGCATTATAACAAATTATACACTACGAGGTGGCCATCCGTGAAATCTGTTCAAGTCACGGAAGGCGAATTATAAACGATGAAACGAAACTGACGTAGTGTTACCGATGGTGTGCGCGTGTGCTTGTATAATAGTTATTGCTATGCGCGTTCGTAATTGAGGTCAGTGGAGCAGTGTATCTCGACTGAAAGAGAGAGAAAAGAAAGAGAGAGCGCGCGTGTACAAGAGAGAGAAAGAGAGAGAGAGAGGATGGGCGGGAGGGAGTACACACGCGCTATTATACCCGTCATTATTCTATTTCCCGTGTAAAAACAAGCCAGATGGCGCAACATCCGCGTTGCAGACGAGAGGGATACTCGATCTCTATCTCAGAACAACGTGATTTGCAGGCGGACGTGTGACACAGCGAAATATATATAGGTCATGCTTGTTAGCACTCTCTCATCACGAGATCAACGATGTTTCGTTGTTACCAATTAGCGAGCATACTCGTTTGAAGTCTCTCGCCCACGCTTTATTCTTGCGTCTACCACAGCAACCTGCTACTCGTCCCTATAGGTTAACGTCACGGTAGGTCAGTAGGCTCTATAGCAGTGGGTCTTAACCTTTTTTTAAGTCATTAACCCCTTTGAAAATATGGTGAAAGCTACGGACCCCTCCCCAGAAAATGCACATAAGCATAAAAACACCGAAATTTGCATAGGGGTTCACGGACTCCCTGAAGCCCATCCAGGGACCCCCTGAAGTCCATACACGGACCCTTTTGGACCGTCCATGGACCACAGGTTAAGAACCCCTGCCCTATAGGTATCTGTCTCGTGACGGGGAATGCGGGTGTGTTGTTTGGCGAGACAGAATCAGCAACATCAATGTTTAAGTATTAGGATGATGCGTTAGACGATTCACGGTCCTCGATCATGGTGGATCGCATTGCTTCGCCTCACCTATGATTACAATCACCTCGCCTTTTTTAATCCTCATCTTAAGACTCATCCACTCTCTCCGACTCTCACCTATCTCTTACATATCGTCACACACCGTCACCTATCTTCACCAATTCGCTCCCCCCCCCACCTCTGCCTACGACTCACACATCCCCCTCACGCCACCTTCTCACTGATTGCTTACTTACTATTACGATTATAATATTTACTTCAATAGATTTAATAATATGCGCGTCTATCCACTCATTTATCAATATTTACACATCGTGAGACATATTTCCCCCTTACCTGACGGCATTAGAGATAGAAGTGGAGGTCCGCGGTTTACTCGTGTCAAGATATCCAAACCGTTCCAGATACTCCTGAAGAAACATGTACAACAAGAACATAATTTCAAAGACTCAGTTTGATCTCCGGTAATACCAGTCGCCATTGTTAGAAACATTAGAGTCGTAATATAAGTCTTGGACGTAGATTTTACAACACTTTAGTACGTACACGTATGGTTCTACTCATTATCGTAGAACTACGATATCTCTGACAACCCGGTCGTGACTATTAAAATTAGCACGAAACATAATTCCTCGATCTAATTGCGCGCCGTTTAACTGGCATCACCGCCGCTACACAGAAAACTAGACAGAGGGCACTCAAGGAGAGTGCATAACTTCGCCAGCGACATACGCCAATAGGCCATACGCAAAACCGAACCAGGTCAGCACGAATAGACCGCACGATATTATCTTCCATGCCTCAACCATGATAATGTGTTACCGAAGCTGGCTCGCCGCTCGCCTGCTGGCTGCTGCTGACAGCTGCTGGAGCTGGCTGTTGTGGCTGGCTGGCTGGATGCTATAGGCTGGCTTGACTCGACGCGCTAATTCGATCGCGGCGAAGGCAACAAATAACACACCGACACGGCTAACACACGAACACCTAACACACGAACACACTAACACACCGAACAACTAACACAACGAACACGACGAGACCGATATATTGATCGCCAAGTTTGGGCGAAGGTAAAATCCGCCGACGGAGAAGGTGTTGAACTCCGTTGGGCGAAGGTAAAAATCCGGCGACGGAGAAGAGAATTCTATTTGGCTGAAACACTCACACAGCGTCTGTGAGAAGCGTTGTTCGTCTAGCAATACTTTCCTTCCTTTTCCACCGGCATCCATCCCGCAGACGTAGCGCACAGGTAAAATACACTGAACGACGAAGCAAGCAACTCACGAGGCCGGATTCTCGATCCGTAGCACGGATGCCAGCGCATCGTAGCGTCACCATTTCACTTTTGCCGGCGCAGACGCCTGCAGATGGCTATGGAAGACGAGGTACCATATTATATATAGTTGTAGGAAAGAGAATAATGGCAGGTCGCGTCTCTCGTTTCTGCTGTCCTCGCTGGGCTTAATTTTACACATTGGCTTTCTCCTGGCCGGATGTCTGAATTTTGTCGTGAGCGAGTGTATAGCAGGCGGAGAGCAGTGGTATTGCTTGTCAGTCTAGCAACGTCGTACGTTCGGTGGCGATACGAAGCATGTCTCAGCTTCATTGCGAGATGTTTGTCACACCGAGTGTTGACTTAATTCTTTGCCCTAGAGTGACCTACTCAATGTTAACACTTAGCACACTTTGCGGCTAAGTCAGAACGACGTCGCTCGCCTACATATATAGCGCGTACATTATCACTATAATTATACAACCGCCGATAGGCTTGACAAGCGATGGATGAAGACGTCTTAGAAAGAACCGTATTCTTTAATGGGTTCTTAATGGCCGTCGAGACGATTACCACATGATCAATCGCGATTTTGAAGCGGTTTGGATTTCGGTGTTCGCGTGGGAATCTTGCGTGTCGTTGGCCGGTGGTAGATATGATTGATTATTTACACTTGTAAGTACGGGTCATCCCGGCGAGACCTTACACTTGTCTGCGACCTACGTCCTGTCACCTATCATGCCTCTCACGCATTATACATCAAAATTTATAACACTACGAGGTGCCCATCCGTGGAATCTGTTCAAGTACGGCGTACATGCGCGAATTATAGACGAGTGAAACGAAAACGGATCCTAGTGTTACCCATGTGTGCGCGGTGTGCCTTGATATACAGTGTTATTGCTATGCGCGTTTCTGATGAGGGCAGTGGTAGGCAGTGTAATCTCGACTGAAGAGAGACGAAAGAAGAGAGCGCGCGTGTACAAGAGAGAGAGAAGAGAGATGAGAGAAGGAGATGGGCGGGGGGAGGGAGAGCAAACGAGAGAGAAGAGAGAGAGAGATGAGAGAGAGAGAGAGAGAGAGAGAGAGCAGAGAGAGAGAGAGCGACGGCGAGAGAGAGGGAATAGAAAGGGAGAGAGAGAGAGAGAGACGGGGGATAGGCGGGAGAGAGAGAAGGGGGAGGGGGAGGAGAGAGGAAAAGCGGCAGTGGGGTCGCCGCGTGTCAAACGCCAACGTGAATCTCGTCTTAACGAGTTGGTCACTTGACATTAGGAGTATCCGTGTATAACGCGGAGAGTTTAGAGATAGATATACCTTATAATATTTGTGCGCCTCACTTTGTCGTATCACTAGCACTCATGCAGTATTTGCTTGCAAGTGTGAATAGGGCAACTGTCAAGCAGTGGCTACTGTACGGACGCGGAGTCCGGTTGCTGCAGCAAGTTGACCCAGTTATATTGATCTGTGATGAATGATCTGTGATGATTGATAGATGAAGGTGTTACGCGTATTACGTGATCATTTTTCAGGATGACATTCAAGAATTCGCGGCAAGCGAGGCAACTTTCCAGCTCTTAGTATTTATGTAGAGTAATTTATAGGAGATAGTTATAGCTATAGTTATAGTATTTTATAGTTATAGTTATAGTATTTTATAGTTATAGTTATAGAGTTATAGTAGATTATGTAGAGTAATTATGTATATTGCTTGTTTTGCTAACCGAAGGCATAATAACAGCACGTTTTTGGTGAGCTTAGCCCATCTTGGCTACAATATATATTACTATATTATATCAGAAGTATAGGGGATGTATATAGTGTAGATACAAGTGTAGTATAGTATACAAGTGTGTGTACTGTAGTACTGTAGTTTAGTATACAAGTGTAGTATATCGTGCTGATTACATGTAGATACAAAAACGCAACTCTATACGCCTGTGTTTGGTTACATAATACCACTCGTCATTTAAAAATTACGTACGCGCGAGTGGTCATATGCCGAGTTATGGTCATAATTTACGAATTAACGTATGGGAGAAATTATGTAACCTGGATTGTCATGACATGGAGTATTACTGTATTGTGCGTTATATCAATAGTTCTAATAATTTATTTTGGTGAAGACACTTCTTCCGTATTCGTGTTAATTGCGTGTTCAATAGGCAATCGTTAATAGACTAGATGGAGGGTGCAAAACTCCTACTTCATCCCCTCCCGTCCTTCCCCTTGCCTCCCCTGTCCCTCGCTCAGCCTCCTTGGTCTTCTGCCGCCCCTCAGGTAGCTTCTTTGCTGCCTTTCCTCAGTCTCCCACTCCTCTCTTCCGCAGCAAGCTATATTATCGCAGTTCTCTTCAGTCCGTACTGCACGCCTGAAACGGTGCTCGCGCATGCGCAATATCTCTCGAGAAGAATGATATCAGGAGTCTATCAATATTGATAGACTCCTGATAATATTTTACAAACATTAAGCCTTTAAACTGGAGAGGAGGTATTCTAGCATGGCTTTATATGATAACATCCCATCAGTAGACGTATTTTAAGAAATAGGAAGAAGACATTGCATGTAACGTCCCCGTTGCATATACAAGTCAGTACACAATCTGGCTACGTTAATTAGTGTGTTAGCGCACACGCAATATCTCACCAGAAGAGTTATATTTTGTGATGAACATGAATTTAATATGGTTAGGGGGTATCTCAGCATAGATTTATGTAATAAATTATTATCAGTAGACCTGTGGTTATAATTAGGAGAGCGCCCTAGCCTATAGGGTGCAAAATTCCTACTGCATCTCCTCCTGCCTTTCCCACTACCTCTCTTGTTCTTCGCTCAGACTCCTTCCTCTTCTACCGCCCCCAGCTATCTTCCCTGCTGCCTTTCCTCTGCTCGCGCAGCGAGAAGCCAAAGTCGCCGCCGCCCGCTGCCGCTTGGGTATGCGGCAGTGTGTCGCCGCCCGGCGCGGCGGCCGGCGAAGTCAGCGGCGGAAGCGCAGCGTCCGCGCCGGCGTTACTCCAGCGCGGGCCGGCGTGGCGCCCCTGGACGAGGCCCTCGCCTGCCTGCCGCCGTCGAAGCTTGATGATGAGGGCGCCGACGTTCTGCGTTTGGAGCGCTGGTTGTCCTTGCGTCGCGAAGGTCGTCCGGGTCGCCTTGATGTTAGTCGCCCACACGGGCGCTGGGCTGGGCGCGGCCGTACGCGACGCCCCTCAGGATGCCCGGCCTTTCGAGCTCGCGCAGGCTGCCAGTCGCCCGCCAAGGCGGCGCGCGCCGTTGCTCGCGGCCGTCGCCGAGGAGACGAGCTGGCCGACGTTTGTAGAAGTTGGCTCTGCCGAGTGATCGACGCGCCGTCCAGGCCCTTGCCGACGGGATTGCTGCTGCAGTCGCTGCCGCTCGCACTGGGCAAGGGGACGAGCGTTTTGCCGAGTTGATGGCCTGGAAGGCGGTCGGAGCTGATAGGCGCACTTGTCAGCGCTGCTTGTCGCTGGACTTACGCCGAGTCCGAACAGCACTTTTTGGCCTCCTCGAGACGGCTGAGCTCGTCGGGAGTCAGCTGCTTCCTTCTTCTTGGGCTTCCTTCTTCTCGCGGTTTCTCGCGCTTCTTCTTTCCTTCTCTCGGGTCCTTCTCCCGGTCTTCTTCATGAAGCCAAACATCGCGAATTATTCTGTAATCTGAGGTATC